TTTGGTAATATCTGTGACCAATCAATCAACTGTGACCTAAAAATTTAATAATCTGTGACTCAAAATTAATATGTGACCAATTAATTTAAAATCTGTGACCTCGAAATAATATGTGACGTAAAAAAATTTTGATCTGTGACCTCGAATAATCAAATTTGACGATATGTGACCATTAAATAAATCTGTAACTTATAATTATGAATCTGTGACTATTAATCAAAAAATGTGACTTTATTATCATTATTTAATAAATATTTTTAATTAATTAAATTTATACCTGATTTTTGAATTTTCAAACTATTTACCTTATTTTTGAATTGAGGTAAAGAAAACACCTTAAATATGAATTTTTCCCTTTTATTTATTCCATTTCGTACGAGAAAAAAGTGACTTGTCAAACAACGTTGTTAGCTTGTTCTCCTTTAATCGAAATTTTAGTTAAATAATCCATGTATAACTAAAAGATGAGCCAAGAAGAACTTGAATTGGTAAATTTTGCATTATTAACTATTAGGAATATTGGACCTAACTCTACCTAATAAAACCGACCTATTAGGGGAGGATTGTCCTCACTTTATAAAGTGGATCATTTATATTTTCCCAAGCAATGTGGGATTCTAATACGCCCCCTCACGCACAGCGTGGACTATGCCAAACAATTGTGAACAAATCGATATTGGGTGGCACCCAACATTGCATAATTGGGTCTAACTCTGATACCATATTAAGATTTGGGGGTTCATCTTAAAAGGCCACATCGAATAAAGATGTTGACAAAGACCAATTAATAAAGATCTTGTGCTACTCCTCTTAATAAGGTTGACCTTTTAAGATGGACCCCCAGATCTTAATATTAACCAGTTTTACTGGTTGGTTATTCACGAAATACAGTAATTTGACCCTGTTTGAATGTGATGATGGTCAGTTTATTGGAAACGAGGATTCTCTGTGTTGACTTGTAATCCAGGTATGTTATCTTCTTCATTCTGTATATTTTCAGAAAAATAACGTATCTGTTTGTTTTGGATTAAAATGAGATTTTAATTTAAATCAAAGTTAAAATATTAGCCACATTTTTTTTGGATCCCACAACTTTTCAACCACATATTTCAAAAATTTCTATCACAATCTATTAAATATTTAATTTTAATCATCATCAAACACCCACTTAATAAGCACGCTTCTGAGCCCAATATGTTTCAACTTTTTTGGAAGTTACTTTGGGTTTTTAATTTTTTCTTTGTAACCAGCATAGTAGGTGAGACATCATGCACTATGAACTTTGACAATATCATCTCGAAAACCAATCTAGAACAATATTGTGCTTGAAATCTTAAACAACAGAATTATTAAACTTGATCTTAATATCACCACATGCAAATCTATGGCGCTTTGAAGTACATTAGAAACTTTTGGAATGCATATGAACTTAAAACGTTTTTAACGAACAGTTGATCTTCGCACCACTCCAATTGAACAAACCAATACAAGAGAACTTAATGGTAATCACACAGCAATTGAAACTCGAGAAATTTCCTTTTTCTCTGTCACTAGCGAGATTTTCTTGATAGTTCTTTCGCTCTGAACCTCGGAATTTTATTTTATCAAATGAAACGAACAAAGTAACCTACTTATAGTTTCCCCCTTTCGAAAGTCTATGGTTGAGGAATGAAAGGAGGGAGGGAGCCGAATTTAGGATGGTGGAATGGAGGAAGCTTAGGGGGTGGAGGATAGGGTTTCTTGTAGAATGGTGGGAGTGGTTTATAAATTGGAATTGGTAGTGGCTTTGGCTTGTAGTTTGGAACTGGTGGTGGAAGCGGCTTTACTATCGGAGGTTTGTAAACTGGTGGCTTTGGGTTTGGTTTGTAGATGGAAGCTGGTGGTGGAAGCGGCTTTACCACTGGAGGTTTGTAAACTGGTGGCTTTGGTTTGTAAATTGGAACTGGTGGTGGAAGCGGTTTTACCACCGGAGATTTGTAAACTGGTTGCTTTGGCTTTGGTTTGTAGATTGGAACTGGTGGTGGAAGTGGCTTTACAACCGGAGGTTTGTAAACTGGTGGCTTTGGCTTTGGCTTTGGTTTGCAGAGTGGTGGCTTTGGTGGATGTGGGGGCTTGCAGAGTGGTGGCTTTGGTGGATGTGGGGGTTTGCAGAGTGGTGGCTTTGGCTTTGGTTTGTAGATTGGAATTGGTGGTGGAAGTGGCTTTACTGGAGGCTTTGGCTTCGGCTTGTAAATGGGGACAGGAGGAGGAAGTGGCTTCGGCTTGTAGACGGGGACGGGAGGAGGAAGTGTCTTCGGCTTGTAAATGGGGACGGGCGCAGGAAGTGGCTTTTTGTAAATGGGAATTGGGGGAGGAAGTGGTTTTGTGTAAACTGGTGGAAGTGGAGGAAGAGGTGGGTGTCCGACGTTTTTCAATGGTGGATGGTAAACCTTATGGAAGTGTTTCTTCCATGGATGAATTTTGGGCAAAGGTGATGGCAACAAGAATGCAGAAGTGCACAATGCAGTGGAGAATTTGAGATTTCCGTTAGGGCTGAATGTGTGTTTTCCATTGGTTATCGACTTTAGGACAACCTTAGAGTCTTCAAGGCCATTGTGAGCTGGACATGGTGCTGCTGATGCGCTTTGAAGCTGTGCATAACATTCCTCTTTGAGTTTTCCATCTTGAACGATCTCCTCAGGAAGTGAAACCTTGAATTTTCCTTCTTTATCAAGCTCTCCAACTCCCACTCTTTTTATTTCTCCATTTTGAAGCTTGCAATCAATGGTTACCCTTAGCCCTGCAAAAAAATGAATGCTTATTGGTTAAGTGTAAAGATGCAAAGCTACGTGGTTATTTTTTACAGGAGTCCAAAAAGGAATAACATTCATATACAGTGGTTCTATATATAAACACCGGTTCATCAACACAATGTGACTTGTTGGTAAGATGGATTCTACGATACTGGATAATATCGTATTATACCATCGATTGTGTTATCTTGTAATAGATACAGTGTTAGTCTAGATAGTCATAGTACATAAAAAGATTGTATAGTACCGGAAACAGCCTGACTCGTTTTAACGTTATTCTCCTTGCAGTCAGCACATTCTCCCACCCCCACAACTTCTATGGTCTTTTCATCTCCATGGCAGAAGCTCGCTGCGAATAACAAGTACACAAAGAAGACCAGAAGGACCCCTCGACAAAGCGAATGAACCCGCATTGGGACCTTCTTTCGAGGTTGATCCCCGAAGACAGTAGAGAGGGAGAAAAGAAATAGCCCAAGAATGCAGGGCAAGCCCCAGAATACAGAAGCTTGTTTGGTGAGTGTTTTAGTGGAAGAAAAGTTTGTTATATATAATAATTCAGGCAAGTGATTTTGTGGTCATCACACCGACAATGAACTTAATGTGATCACATGAAGTTAGGTTCCATTGATCCTGACTACAAAGCTCATCGTGTAGAGAGAAAAAAATTTAGCTGAAAAATGGGAGTATCAAAGGCCATTATTTTCGTTGAATCGATGAGGTTTCAACTGCGCAATTGTGTATATATATATATATATTTTCTGTCTATAAATCTGCTTGCCTCCTCTCTACTTTATGAAATCCATGTTTGTGTTACGGCAGCACTTCCTCTATATGTTAACATAACACATCGTTTTACTTGCAAGTTGGATTCATTTTCTCCAAAAAATCACTATTCCAAAACGTATTTTTTTCCCTCAAATGGGGACTCAAACAAGGTCTTAATTTAAACATCGTGTCGAGATAGAAAAATATCTCAACTTTAAATTTCACTACAAAAACTAATTTTTATTCTATTATAAGTTCTATTACTGATCAATTGAAGATGTCGAGGTCGTGGCTCTTTGCAAGGGACTTGCCATGACCCAAAAACTTGGCTTTACGCGTTGATATTGCTTGATGTAGTTATTGCTTTTGTAGCTTTATTCCCAGAGATTGTAATAAGGTGATATGTGAGTTTGTGTCGCTTGTTGATTTACATAGATGTTTATGTTACTGGTTTGACATATTATAATGAATTTTCGCTCGAGCATTTGACGAAAAAATTAATTTTACTTACAAAATAAATTTTTTCTTTCTTTTGGTTGAATAACTGAGTGTCTGAATGCAATTGATTGGATTGAAGCATTATCTATTTATTTAGAAAAATGCTATTCATCCCGATGATGAATCCCCAGTCTATGTGGATGTAAATGATTGGTTAAATGATAGGTAAAATTAAATGACCTATTTAATTGCACCTATCATTTAATCATTTAATGTCACATTAACGCCACATAGACTGTGGATGCATCCCAGTGGAGACGAATAACATTTCTCATTTATTTATTATCTCGTGTGTGGTTGCACCAAACAAAGTTAAGATGTCAATTAGGAATTAAGGTTGAATGAGAAGCACCGAAATGTGCATGTGCTTTCACTCAAATTGGGATGTT